GTTTTAAAAAAGAGCAAGGATTCTACCACCAAACTTATCTTTGGGGGTGGAGTTGTATATGACTTTTTGTTTTTTTTATGTTTATTTTTCATCCTTTCTTTAAAAATTAGACTTAGACACACCTTGATTCTTCCATCTTTATAATTCTGTCATAACCATTTCAGTGGTCCTTAATGAGAAGGATCTTGATATGGTGGAACTTTGTGCAACCAGAGTTCACAAACTGTGACCCTAGGCCAGTTAATCCCTCTGACCCTCGCTTTCCCCATTGATGAGATAGAAATAACACTATTTACTTGTAGGGCTGTTACGAGGTGAAATGTGTCAACATCTATAAAGTGTCTCAGCTGAGTGTTCTGGTGCATAGTAAATATTCAGCAAGTGTTCTTTTCCCTATAGTTTTACTAATAATTTTGGGATGATACCACATTCTAAAGTCTTGTGTTTTTTGCCCTCCCCCCTTTAAAAGACTGTGACTTTCCTAGAGATTCTGAGGGAAGTGATAAATATTCTTGATTTTTAGGATTTCACTTGAAACCTCTAGTTAGTGTAATTGCTTTTTCTCTGTAATGCTACTTGACCAGCTTATTGGGAATTAGAAAGATTTTTTTACCTATGTATTAGATATCAAAATCATGACATTTCCCTGTCTTATTTCCCTTGGACTCCTTTGGCTATTATAATTCCAGAAAATCTATTTCTAAAGTTAGTATGTGGAAAAAAATCTTTTTTTCTTCTGTCATTTCTTTAATCCGTTAATGTAAATAAGCAGAAAGTTATAAGGAATGTTAGTTACCATGTATAAACTTTAGAAAATCACATTGTAATTTTAATTTGTGGAATCAAATTTTAGATCTATGTTTTTCTTCATTTCTACTTTATAGTTTATTTTTTTGTCGTTGCTTATTTTTAATTGGCATCTTATAAACTATCTGAATTGTCCTTTTAAATCACATTGTGCATTATATCTTTTCATATGGGTCAAGTTTTTAAAGTTGTGAAATATGCGAGAACATATAACATATAAAATTAAAGAATAATTATAAAAAAAGCTATGTACTTTCTCTCAACTTGAATAAGACAGTACTTGACCAGTACTTTTGAAGCTCCTTGTGTCGTACTGATTTTTTTCATGTGCTACTTGCAATACTTCTCAGTCGCTTTAGTTATTTTGAAGTTAGATATGCGTGTCATTACAAAACATTGTCACATTAGAGAATACATAGCACCCGCCATTTAGTTCATTAGCTCCTGAGTTAATCTGGACTTGCCATATCATGCTAATACATTCATTTCAATCACAGTCTTGCCACTCTGGATCTTTGTTGATTAGTATTTTTTTGTAAATCTCGGTATTTCAGTGGTTTTAAGTAGATGTCTTGATCAACCCTTTCCCCACACCACCTTAAAGAAATACAGACAGCAAGAGGCTAAGCCCAGTACCTACCTCAGTATAACCATGTGCTTAACAACCTGTTGAGATTCTACTATCCCTGAAGATATGCTGTAGGTTAATTTTATGCAGTGATTTTTCAGACAACTAAAAAATAAATGGTTTGTAAGTTTAACTTCAAAAAATGACTTAAGTTCCTGGATTGTTCATAGACCATTTTGTTGCCTTTGGCAAAATGTGACCTAAAACATATGAGAGGTTCCTGGGGTAAAGGTAGATATTTTTCATTAGCATCTTAATTTTACTCTGTAGTTTGTGAACGACTCCATTTGTGGGGGAAAAGATGAAAAATTTACTATACATTTTTCTCATAACAATTTAAAATATGACTTAGATTTTTGAGGTTCTTTAGGATGAAAATTGTATCTATAGTTTTATATACAAAGCACATTTGGTGTTTGGAATTATGTACTTATTGTCATAAAACTCTGACTTGATACAAACATTTTTTTTTTTGAAAAGTGACTATCCTAAAGGAAGGATTTATGGAATATGACTAGAATCTTTGTTAAAGTAATCCAAGGTCAAGATTTCTGGAGTTGATCATTACTCAGTATATGATGGTTTAGTTGCTATGTAAGTCAACAGCAAATTTTGTAACTCATGGAAATACTTTACCCTTTGCTAAAGGCTGTTTTTGAAATGAACAGTGATTAATGGATGATGTTTCAAAAAGGTGTCAGAAAATTTTGTTGTATATTTTTTAGTTTTAGGTATTTGAGACAGTACTGAAATCTGTTAATTTCTAACAATAAAATAAAACAAATACTAATATCTTATTTGATTCTGTATAGTTTTTATATCAGTAATATCTATTTCTGTTGAAATTATTCAAGTTGGCAGGGTGTATAGTAGCATTGTAACATTTTATAGGTGAAGAATATGTTGAGAGCCTCAAGAATTTGATTATATGTATAGTTCATAGAGATTGAATTTATATTTTCTTTCCCAGTAGTCCATGCCAGAATTAAAGAACAATCAGTTTTTTTGGAAAAATTATTAGAAAATGATGTATTTGGAGTAAACAATTGAATTTTGAGTCAGTTATTATTTTTACGAAATAAAACTATCCAACTTTAATGTTCATCCATCCATCCATCTATCCATATACACCCCAAATTGGGTACCACTTGGTTCCATGTCTAGGGCTTTACTTGATACCGTAGCAGTATCTGAATTGGAAAGGTAGTTCTTCAGAAATGGAATCTGGAATATCGGTAATGATTTCCGGACACAGGCAATTCCTAATTTAAAAATAATTTGCACATTTAAATCCCTGTCCCTGGGGTTCTCTTCCATTGAAGTGTCTACTGTTGCTGCTATTTGGAGTATAGATTTGGAGCTTTTAAAGAACCTGAGAGTTCAGAAATAGAAGGAGAAACCTAAGTGAAAAGCAGAAATATTTTGGGCACTATATATAGACTCAAATTTCTATTTTGACCCACTTGCCTAAAAATGTTTTTCTTCAAACTACTGGAGTAGTGGTTTTTTTGTTTGTTTGTTTTTTTTAACAATTTTGCAATGCTACTCGAAATTCTACCAGTAAGAGGTTTATTTGGGCTAACTATCATACTTTTTGGAAATTGCAAATAATAATATGAATTATTTCAGTCTGGTCAGTTTCTTCCTATCACCTAACTGAAATGAATGAACTACACTGAGGCAGTAGGGGCTTTGGATAGTAATTTAGGAATGTGGAACTACTTAGAGGAAAGGATTATTAAGCAGAGTGATTGGGATGCTATAATATAAAATTTAGGGAATTACCGGTACCAGGAATTAAGAAACAAAGGAAAACAACGTATTTTAGAATTTGTTTAGAGGGCTTAGAGTTGGGCGAATGTCTGTTTCTTCTCCAGGGTCCCCAGTGCCCTTGACCAGTAATATCTTTGGGAATCAATAGTTTTGACTTAGCCTATACTTAATTTTGCCTCTTCTGCTGCTGTTATCTTGTGTTCTCACTGAGGTTACTTAGTTCTCTCTCACTGAGGTTACCTTTACTTTCCCATATGTCATTGTAGAACTTGCTGGTCAGTCATGAAATACCAATGAAAGCAATAATCAGGAAGTACTGTAATAGAATTGCAATAAATCTTCTCAGAAAAAGATACTAGAAAAAAAAAAAAAGAATTGCAATAAAGTAAGAGAAGCTGCTTGGAGAGCAAACGAGAGCTTGTAGACTTGGGGAGCAGTTGTAAGAAGTGTCTCCAAACCTAATTTACAAATAACGTTGGTAGATAACATGTTATGTTTCGTATAAAGTAACTTCATTACTTCTGCCTTGATAGTAAATCACTATAAAAAGTGAATTCACATGCATATTGATTTGTAAATTGATGAAGATTACAAAGGTTTTTTCCCAGATAAATTCTATAGAACAGTGGAATATTTAGGTTTATTTGATACCTAGAAATGCCTGAAATTTTCAGTGATTGTAGGCACATTTTAAAACTGGTTTTCTTTTCACAGACAACTAAATACATTTTATGTATAGTTGATTTTGATTAATGAAGACTAAGGAAAATTATTTTCAAGTAAGCTTAAATGTTAGAAAACTAATTTTGCAAATTTGAAGTAATTTTACCTATATGTTTTGGGGATTGTAGTTACATTAGATATTCCTCAGTTAGGGGTAATTGTTTTGCATCATTATCGCTTATCATAATCTGTTTTTCTTCACACAGTGTTATAGTTTTGCCGCTGGACTCTTCCCTCCCTTCCCCCACCCCATCAGGATGATATGAGACTTGAAAGAAGACGATGCATACAGGTGACTCAAGTTTTGACATACAGTAAAAATATGGCTAAGAGAATGTGTGGGAACCTATGATATGTTTTGAATGGGGGGAACTTTCTGATGAACAGCAAGTAGTGGGGGAATTTTAGATCAGTAATGCACAGATAGTTGAAGTATTTATTAAACTTGACTTTGGGACTCAGTTTGATAATTATTGATTTGTAGTGGTAATATAAAAATACAGTGTAGTAATTGCTAGTACTTGAGCTTTTTCAAGAGTTGGCCAGTACTTTGGTGGGAAGAGAAATACTTCTGTTAATAAGTCAAATAAAATAGTCACTTTTATGGTTGAATGCATGTGTCCCCCAGACCCCTGTTAGAATGTAGCAAATCTTTTACGGGAGTAGGTGTTAATAGGGTATCTTTAATGAGACTCTGACAATTAAGTATATTACATCCGTATGTATGATTCCTTAAAAAAATATGGTCTGGGATTTTGTTTTTTCTTGTTCCTTTCCTCCCTGCATCCCTGCCAACCCTCTTTTTCCTTGCTTTGCTCCTTCCTTTTCATCCTTTTGTTATTTGTATTTATAAGGAGAAGCAGTGTGAAGTCATTTCTGAAAGAATAATTTTGATTGCTTTATAATTAATTGAAATGATCTTTCTCATACATGGAAAACTGGAGGCTATTCCATATGTGGCTGTGCTCAAACTCTTGAAAATGTAGTATCCAGCTAATGGATAAAGTGTTACTAACTTTTAAACTTGTATGTTCTAAATCAGGCAGATTGTGAGGCATTTTGTTGAACCAAGTGACTTACATCATATACTGTGTCAGAGATAATCTTACTTGATTATATTTATAAATTGATGTTTGAAAATGTGATTGTTGACTGGAAAAGAAGTAATTATGTAAATCTTGAATGAATATCTAATTACATTATTGGTGTAGTTTTGTGATTGGTTTTTATTTTTGGTGATCTGCATTTTCTAAAGGAAAAAAATTACAGTTTTTCTTTTTACTTTAGAATGGCATTTTTAAAAATACTGTCTCAGGTGTACCATTTTGTATAAAGAAATATGCTTAAAAGTATTTGTAAATTAAATTATAGATCCTGTTATACTTTACATACATTCATTTGGAACTTGCTATTTGTAAGACCAATGGTAATTCTTTTGTGTGTCAAAGGTGATTGAGTAGTCTTCTCCATAATGCATCTCTCTTTCATGCATGCACACAGGTGTGCACGTGTATGTTTGTCTGTACACATATATTAGAGGTACACCAGGTACACATTCTGGCTGAGTGGCTGCTTGTTAAAACCAACATGATACTGAGGCTTAATATCACCATGATAGACAAACAAATAGGAATATTTACAGAAACATTTTTAGAATTTTATGAACAGTTTTTGTTGTCAGGTTTTATAAGTTTGACCTTTTGATGCAGAACAGTTTCTCAGCATCATCAGCTCCCAGATGGTTCCTAGGGCACTATGCCGCGCATTAGCTATGCCAAATAGATGCTCAGTTTCCACTGAGGTCAGTAGAAGTACAAAGTATTTTTTGGTATCTCATAGATTTATCTATGAATACCACTGATTTTGGATATTTTCTCATGAAATTTTAGAGTTGCAAAGTTGCTGTTTATCCTCACAAAATATCTCTTTTTCTTGGAAGACTTATGGCCAAAAGTTATCTAGTTAATTTTATGAATGCTAGCTAGAACATACATTCTACGTACTAGATTTATAATAAGGTCTAATCTCTTATTTGACTTTGTATTCTTTAAAAATTATCAACATTTATAGGCTTACAAAGAAAAAGTAACCCAAGAAAGAAGATCTTTACTCTCTGTGTATTAGCTGTTGATGTATTTCCCTTTCTAACAATTTGAAAGTTAATAATTTTTGAATGTAAAATTAACAGCTTTCATAATCATTAATTAATGCAGTAGTTTGCTCTTGAATTACTTTGCACACATTTATTATATTTCAGCTGATAGAATTTTAACACACAAAAACTCATCAGTTTTTTACTGAAGGTCATTTCTAGAATGCTTATGCATATTTGAAAGCAACTGTGTTCTGCTTTCCCCAGGCCTTGTTTTTCCCTCCAGGCATTGTTCATGGTACTGACTTTGTTATGTTGGGTGCATGTGATGGTCACTTACTCCCTCATCTCATTCCATTAATGAGGCACAAGTTCAGGAGGCTGCAAAAGGATGTTGAAGTAGGCACTAGCTGATTGGCCTTTCAAAGTGAAAGCTTAATAATAGATTTTCATGGCAACTGTGAAGTGATAGATATGTTAATTGGCTTGATTGTGGTAATCATTTCACATTGGACATGTGTATCAAAAAATCATGTTGTACACTTTAAATATATACAATTCGTATTTCCCAGTGACACCTTAGTAAACCTGGAGGGTAATAGAAAAAAAGATTTTTAGTGAACACCAATCCAAAGGCAAATTTTCACATATCTCTAGTACATGTGTATATATAGGTGTTCCTGTACTTGTTTAAAGGTCTTTTTGTATATTTTTAAATATACAGTGTGTCCCAAAAGTCTCCATACAAGGGTAAAATTTTGTAACGAATATTTTGTAAATAAAGGTACATTTAGCTACAATTCCCCATTTCCCCTATGTATGGTGACTTTTGGGGCACCCTGTAGTTAGAAAATGAGGTAAATTTGAATTTTCTTTGGATTTTTGGAATAAAAATCATTTGTGAACCAGCATTTACTTGGATAGCATTTGCTTTATATAAGGTGCTATAATAGGTGCTCTGCCTACAAGGATCCCTGTGCTTAGATCAAGGAACAAGTTGGAGGATGGGGTGGATATGTAAACAAATAAATGATGCCGTGGAGGTTTATGATAAATTTTTAAGCCTTGCCTATTGAATTCAAGGCATGTAGAGTGAAATTAGAGAAACACTCTCTGGGTAATAGCATTCACAGTAATGGCTTCAGCTGGCACCTATATGCCAGTGTTAAAAATCTGTCCGATTCTTCTCACCTGAGCTCCAGACTGAAGTATTATAACTGCTACCTGATGTCTCTCCTGCATGTTCTCCCTCCCCTCCCATTCAGTCCTCTTAGTGACGAGTGACACCATTCTACCCAAGCAAACTATCCTTTGGGGAACCTAGGAGCTACTCTTTACCCCCTTGAATCAATAAGTAACCAAATTCAGTTTATTTAGGATGTAGAATCACTTCTGTGATTAGGTTTGAAAAAAGCACTGCCTCAGAGATTACCATGAACATTAACGTAAAGGCTCTTATATAAAGAAATAAATTAATTTTTTATATAAGAGAAATAAATGCTGCTTAAGGTAGCATTCTTTAATTTATTTGATTAAGGGACCTCACCTTTTTATTTTTGACTTATATCCATTAATATCCTATAGAACATTATTTGGGAAAATCTGGATATAGCAGTTGATACACTGCTATATACCAATCTGGATAATACCATTCTTTGTTTTGTTGAAATGAACTTCTTTAACAACTAAAAATTTTTTAACAATAGTAATACAGTAGTCACTTTAAAATGTGAAATAGTTCTGGAGGCATACAGAGCTGTAGCTTTTTGAAAATAAATA